ATTTCTTATTACTTAGGGTTTTGCCAAACTCTTCTAAAAATTTGAATACACAAATATTTCATGTGTTGTTAAGGTCACCTCTGAAGTGTCATGTTTTCTAATCTCCCAAGAGTGGCATTTTTATTTCAGTTGTAATTGTTTTTATACTTAAATATAATTGACTTTTATGGATAGACCCTGCATCTTGTGACTGTGCTAAATAACATGAAGGCTGGATCCCTAGCACAGAATAAAACAAACTGTAATGGCACACTTTTTTAACCCTAGGACTCTGAAGGACAGCCTTTAGAATGGGGAAAGATCTTCACCAACCCCACATCTGAAAGACGGCTGATATCCAAAAATAGATAAAGAACTCAAGAAACTAGACTTCAAAATACCAAATAATACAATTTAAAAAAATGGGATACAGAGCTAAGCAGAGAATTCTCAACAGAAGAAACTCAAATAGTCAAAAGACATTGAAGGACTTGTTCAACATCCTTAATCATCAGCAAAATGTAAATCAAAAATGACTGTGAGATACAAACTTATAGCTACCAGAACAGTTAAGATAAAAATACTGAGGATAGCTTATGTTGGAGAGAAGATGGAGTCAGGGGAACACTCCTCCATAGTTGGTGGGAGTGCAAACTTGTACAGCCATTTTGGAAATCAGTATGGCAGTTTCTCAGAAAATTTGGAATCAATCTACATCAAGAACCAGCTATACCACTTAATGGGCATATACCCAAAGGATGCACATTCATATCACAAGGACACTTGCTCAACTATGTTCATAGCAGCATTATTTGTAATAGCCGGAACCTGCAACAACCTAGATGCCCCTCAACTGAAGAAAGGATAAAGAAAATGTGGTACATTTACACAATGGAGTACTACTCAGTTCTAAAAACCATGACATCATGAAAATTGCAGGCAAATGGATGGAATTAGACTCAGAAAGACAAACAGGGTACGCACTCACTCCTAAGTGGATATTAGATGTAAAGCAAAGGATAACCAGACTATAACACATAGCTCCAGAGAAGCTAGACTTTATCTAGTAATGGATGGAACCAGATGCAGAGATCCACAACAAAGCACCAGGCCAAACTTTGGGATTCCAGGCAAAGAGAGGGAGGAGGGAATACATGAGTAAGGGAGATCAAGATCATGAAGGGGAAATATACAAAAACAGCTGAACCAAGCTTGTGGAAACTCATGAACTTTGGACCAACAGCTGTGGAGTTTCCATGGGACCGAAATAGGCCCTCTGCATGTGGGAGACAATTATGAAGCTTGGGCTAGCTGAGCGGCCCCTGGCAGTAGGTTCAGGGTCTATTCCTGGTGCATGAGCTATCTTGTTGGAGCAGCCCATTCCCTATGAGGGATCCATACTCAGCTTTAATGCAGTGGGGAGAGGTTTGGTCCTGCCCCAACTACATATGCCAGACGTTCTCCCCATGAGACAAACCCCTTATCTGTTGGGAGGAATGGATGAGAGTTAGGCTACAGGGGAAGTGAGGGGGTGGGAGGAAGAACTTTGGTTGAATGAAAATGAAATTTTAAAAATATAATAAAAGAAAAAATAATATTTTTTTTTCTCCAAAGTGGCTATGTCTTTCTAAAAGTAAATGTACACAGTTACAACAGTTGTGGGTTTACATCATCTTTATTAGTCCTTAGCCTATTTGGTGTTTGACTACTATTTTGGCTGTGGGTTATATGAATATGTTTTCTTGCTTTTTCACTTACCTACAATATTGGACTGAAACCTGAATTTAAATGAATTATATATAGTCTAGTGTCAAGATTTTACCATTCCCTTTGAAGATTGTTGGGCTTCATAATGGCCAGAAGCTGTTATTTGAGTAACTTTGTTACTCTGACTCTAGAGCAGCCTCTCCTGTTAGTGAGGCAGAGCTTTCTGCAATTTTAACTACACTATGAAGTCTTCAGGATGCTCTCTTGAAGATGTATGCATCTATTCTTGAGTGAACCAGAAGAAACAGTCAGCTCTTTGCTTCAAAGCTGCTCTTTGTCTAAGCTTGTAGAACTTGTCATACACCTATGCCTTAGTATTATTAAGCAAAGATTCAAGAGGATCTCTGTGCAGCTCTCTAGAGCGTTTTTATTTCTTATTTTAAATAAAGTCCATCTTTCTAAAGCTTTGCATCACAAAGTCTAGGTCCTTCAGATTCTTAGTACAATTCTCAGTTTGATGTGTGTGTGTAAGTGTGTGTGTGTGTGTGTGTGTGTGTGTGTGTGTTTGTGTGTGTGTGTGTGTGGGGGTCAGTCCATTTCTTTTACTTATTTTTCTTTTTTTATTTAAAAATATTTTTTTTCATTTTACATACTAACCCCACTTCCCCCTCCCTCCTCTTCTCCCACTCTCCATCCTTTCTTCCCAGCTTGAATCCACTCCTCAGAGGGGGTAAAGTCTTCCTTGGGAAATCAATAAAGTCTGACATATCAAGTTGAGGCTGGGCCCAGTCCCTCCCCACTGTGTCAACGCTGAACAAAGTATACCACCATAGGGAATGGGCTCCAAACATCCAGTCCATGCACCCCAGATAGGTCCTGGTTCCACTGCCAGAACCCCCTAACAGATTAAGCCACAAAACTGTCATCCACATTCAGTAAAAAATGGGATATAGATCTAAACAGAATTCTCAACAGAAGAAACTCAAACGAATGAAAAACTTTTAAGGAAATGTTCAACATCCTTACTCACCAGGGAAATGCAAATCAAAATGACTCTGAAGTACCTTCTTATACCTATCAGAATGGCTAAGATCAAAAACATTGATGAGAGCTGCTGAAAAGGATGTGGAGTAAAGGGAACATCCTCCATCATACAGCCACTTTGCAAATCAGGATGTAAGTTTCTCAGAAAATTGGGAATCAATTTACCTCAAGACCCAGCTATATCATTTTTGGGTATATACACAAAGGATGCACAATCAGACCCTAAGGACAGTTGCTCAACTATGTTCATAGCAGCTTTATTTGTAATAGTCAAAACCTGGAAACAACCTAGATGCCCCTCAACCAAAGAATAGGTAAAGAAAATGTGGTACATTTACACAATGGAGCATCACTCATCAGGATTCATTTCTAAACTCTTGGTTCACTATGACCCCAAGAAAGAGGTCATGGCAATTCAGAACTTGACCCTGATATTCTATTAGGTACCACAGTCCTGTAGTTTCTTTGTTCAATGCCTAAAACAACAGTTTTACATATTTATGTAGTTTACCAGTTAAGTTAAAAGGTTAAGTATAGCCAGGTGTGTGTATGTAGGGGGACACTTTAATTTCAGCACTCTTGGAAGCAGAAGCAGATGAATCCCTGAGAGTTCAAGGCCAGCCTTGTCATTACAGAGAGTTCCAGGACAGTTAGGGCTCTGTAAAGAGACCCTGTCTCAAAACAAACAAACAAACAATAAATAAATAAATAAAATGTTAAGCCAAATTTCTTTTATTTCATCATAACTAGGAACCATAATCTTTTTCAGTTTTAAAAAGGAGGATTGTAAAATAGCTTATTTGCACCTTAAAAAGTTAAACATATTACCATATGACAAACCAATTCTACACTCAAATAGAACACATGAAAAAACGGAAGGCAGGACCAACATAAGCATTTGTGAATTAATACTCACGTCAGCGTTATTGGTAATAGTTTACAAGATAAAAAGAACTCAGGTGTCCAAGCAACAGAGAAATGAATTAATAAAATATGGACATATAGCCACAAAGTATTGTTCAGTTTTTTGTCTTTAAGAAAAAGGATCTTGATAGGTATGTAGCTCAGGCTGGCTTTGCACCCCTAATATTCCTGACAGCTCCCTGAGTTCAGGGATTATAGGCTTCTATAACTACAACCAGCTACTTATCAGTCTTTAAAGAAAAAAAGAAATGAAATGCGCCCACACAGATGAATTTTTAAAGCATTATGATAAGCAAAAAAGGATAGGCACAAACACTGCCAGGAGCTACCTAGAACCTGCAAATTCATAGAGTAGACATTACCAGGTAGGGTAATGGAAGGGGGAGTTATTGTTTTTATTGCTTATTGTGCTGGAAAAGTTTGGAAATGGATAGTGGTGATGATCGTATAACACTGTGACTGTAATAAATACCATCAAACTGTATATTATAATTAAACAGGAAAGAGAATTCTCTGTAGTTATTTATCACAATTGTTTTCATATTCCAATAAAATTGTGTGCGATGCCACAAGCATGAGTGTTGCATGTGCTGCCCTGGGTGAGCATGTATGAAGGCTGCACACCACCTGCTGCAATGCAGATCAGTCTCGGCTTCCAGAGATTGATAGATAGATAGATTATTGTATTTAGGGAAGAGAAAGTTGTTGTTTGTAAGACATACAAACAAGTAGAGTGTAGCAGAGTATTAGGTCACATCTGAAACTCTTCTCTAAATTTTTGGTGGTTTCTGATTTTTAAAATATAAAATGTAACCTGGGTAGTGGTGCACACAGTTTTAATCCTAGCACTCAGGAGGCAGAGGCAGATGAATCTCTGAGTCTGAGGCCAGTCTTGTATACAGAGAAAGTTCCCAGTACAGCCAGGGTTACACAGAGAAATCTTATGTCCAAAGAAAAAGAAAAATCCCATTTTATGTGTGTGTGTATGTATACATATATGTATGTATATATGAAAATACTGAAAAATATTGGGTAATGTCTTCATGTTGGTCTCATAAAAGTATACAGTTACCTTAGTAAAGTCATTATATAACACAGGATTTACCTTATCATCAATTAAGTTGAAAAATATAATAAAATTTTTTAAAAAAGCACATCTTGATTAGACTTGTTTCAAAACTGACAGAGAATTGATGCGCTAACTAGAGCTGGGTATGAGCCTCACAAAGGACCTCCTGTATTGTTTTACAAGAGCCCGAGAGAGGGAGACAGGAAGCAGAATGGAGTGGAGGAGGATGGACCACACACTTGGTGAGAAAGCAGCAAGCAGCAGCAGGTGTACTTACACAATGGTTTTTCCGATGTGCATGAATGACTTCTCAACAAATTCACGGACACTATGAACTTCCCCAGTAGCTATGACAAAGTCCTCTGGCTCATCATTTTGTAACATCAGCCACATAGCCTACAGAGAAAGAAGTAAAATCACGTGAAAGTTACTTTGTGATCAAAGCACATGATTAGATATGGGAGTTAGAGTTTGAAAATGAGTGTGAACTTAATGCAGTATTATAATTACTGAAGGTGGCTCTCATAATTTAATTTACATCACAAAAATTTGGGGGACATCTTAGTGTGAACACTTGGCCCAGTCATGAACTCTAGGAATCTTTATCTTTAGCAGACCAGGAGATTTCTATACAGCAGGTCTCCAGACCACAACTTAAGAGGGAAATGTTTATCAATATCCAGTGAATATAATATATAATTATAACATATAACCTTTGTATAGAACATCTATGTGAGAATAATCCCAGAACATTGTTTAATTTTCCTTCATGTCACAGATGACAGGCAAGAAAAAATTCTTTTTTAAAGTCCTCAAAAGTAGAATCCCATTTCTCAACAATGAAGTGGAAAGCTTAGCAGTAAAAAAAGAATATCATTAACAGAGTACATAATAGAAACTACAAGCACTTTAACAAGTTGTCAACATCAGATTTTTAATCTTCATAGTGAGACATAAATGTACATACTGAGAGTTAGAAAAGATAGTTGGCACATTTTGAACCATGGACTAGGATCAACTTCCACTATCGACTCTATTTGCTTAGAAAAGCATTATTAGCAACTTGTAGGCCTACAGTTTCTGTAACTTAAACTTACACATCAACTGTACACGATATATATATATATATATATATATATATATATATATGTATGTATGTATGTATGTATGTATGTATGGGCTGGAGAAATGATTAGTGTCAGACTACTCACTGCTCTTCCAGAAGACAGGAATTTGATTCCCAGTGCTCACATCAGGCAGGGCCAACTGCCTGCTCCAGTGTTCCAGATATCTGACCTCTTCTCTCTACCTTCCATGGGCACTGACACACACACACACACACACACACACACACACACACACACACACACACACACACGTTTTGGCTTTTGTCATTCTATTTATAGAGTTTTGGAGAAAATTATGTTTCTAGCTAGAATTTCTGTTTGAACAATTGTCTGAGGGATTAGATGTGAACAGGGTAAATACAATCAAGTGTTTTTTGACTCAGATTTCCATTCTAAAAATAACATTTATTAGACATTTCAGGACCACTCAGCTGATTTTTTTCTTTAAATATCCTATGGCTCCCTTTCTCCCTCCCTCCCTCCCTCCCTCCCTCCCTCCCTCCCTCCCTCCCTCCCTCCCTCTCTCCATCCCTTCCTGTTTCACATGGAAGGAAACAAAGGCTTAGTAGAGATGAAAGGTCAAGAGTGGCTTCTGGTTGCTATAGGTCTGTCTATATGAGGCAAGACCAAGTCCTTAAGATCATCCACCATGATCAAGTAGGCTTCATACCTGGATTGCAGGGATGGTTTAACATACGAAAATCTATCAACGTGATCCACCATATAAACAAACTGAAAAAGAAAAACCATATGATTATCTCCCTAGATGCAGAAAAAGCCTTCGATAAAATTCAACACCCTTTCATGATAAAGGTATTAGAGAGGTCAGGGATAACAGGAACATACCTAAACATAATAAGAGCAATATACAGCAAACCAACTGCCAACATCAAACTGAATGGAGAGAAACTTAAGCCAATTCCTCTAAAATCAGGAAGAAGACAAGGCTGTCCTCTCTCTCCATATCTCTTCAATATCGTACTAGAAGTTCTAGCTAATGCTATAAGACAACAAAAGGAGATCAAGGGCATCCAAATTGGAAAGGAAGAAGTCAAACTGTCTCTATTTGCAGATGATATGATAGTTTACATAAGCGACCCAATAAACTCTACCAGGGAACTCCTACAGCTGATAAACACCTTCAGCAAACTAGCAGGATACAAGATAAACTCAAAAAAATCAGTAGCCCTATTTTTTTCAGATGACAAAGAGGCAGAGAAAGAAATCAGAGAAACATCACCCTTTACAATAGCCACAAGCAACATAAAGTATCTTGGTGTAACGCTTACTAAACAAGTAAAAGATCTATATAATAAGAACTTTGTGACTCTAAAGAAAGAAATTAAAGAAGATACCAGAAAATGGAAAGACCTCCCATGCTCTTGGATAGGTAGGATAAACATAGTAAAAATGGCAATCTTACCAAAAGCAATCTACAGATTCAATGCAATCCCCATTAAAATCCCACCACAATTCTTCACCGACCTTGAAAGGATAATAATCAACTTTATATGGAAAAACAAAAGACCCAGGATAGCCAAAACAACCCTATACAATAAAAGAACATCAGGAGGCATCACCATTCCTGACTTTAAGCTCTACTACAGAGCTATAGTTCTGAAAACAGCCTGGTATTGGCATAAAAATAGACAGGTAGACCAATGGAATCGAATTGAAAATCCTGATATTAATCCACGCACCTATGAACACCTGATTTTCGACAAAACAGCTAAAATTATACAATGGGGCAAAGACAGCATCTTCAACAAATGGTGCTGGCACAATTGGATGAGGGTGTGTAGAAGACTGCAGATAGACCCATGTCTGTCGCCATGCACAAAACTCAAGTCCAAATGGATCAAAGACCTCAACATCAATCCAGCCACATTGAACCTCTTAGAAGAGAAAGTAGGAGGTACCCTTGAACAAATTGGTATAGGAGACCGCTTCTTGAACATAACTCCAGGGGCACAGACACTGAAAGAAACAATTAATAAATGGGACCTCTTCAAACTTAGAAGCTTCTGTAAGGCAAAGGACACAGTTGACAAGACCAAACGGCAGCCCACTGACTGGGAAAAGATTTTCACTAATCCTATATCCGACAAAGGACTGATCTCCAAAATATACAAAGAACTCAAGAAACTAGTCAACAAAACACCAAATAACCCTATTAAAAAATGGGGTACAGAACTGAAGAAAGAATTCTCAATGGAGGAAATCAAAAAGGCTGAAAGACACTTAAGAAAATGCTCCACATCCTTAGCTATCAGGGAAATGCAAATCAAAACAACTTTGAGATACCATCTTACCCCTGCCAGAATGGCTAAAATTAGAAACACCAGTGATGACTTATGTTGGAGAGGATGTGGAGAAAGTGGAACACTCCTCCACTGCTGGTGGGAGTGCAAACTCATACAGCCACTTTGGAGATCAGTATGGCGGTTCCTCAGGAAAATGGGAATTAGTTTACCACAGGACCCGGCAATCCCCCTCTTAGGCATATACCCAAAGGATTCACATCAATGCAACAAAGACATCTGTTCAACTATGTTCATAGCAGCACTATTTGTAATAGCAAGAACCTGGAAGCAACCTAGATGCCCTTCAATTGAAGAATGGTTAATGAAGATGTGGCACATCTACACAATGGAATACTACTCTGCAGAAAAAAATAATGGTATCTTGAAATTCGCAGGCAAGTGGATGGCACTTGAAGAAACCATCCTGAATGAGGTAACCCAGTCACAAAAAGAGGAACACAGTATGTACTCACTCATATATGGATTTTAGACCTAGATCAAATGATCACCAGCCTTTAATTCACATCACCAGAGGAACTAGGATACAAGTTGTATTCTAAGAGATTCATATAAAGTCCCTCACAGAACTGGGAAGGGACAAGTCCCCCAGACCTCAGGTATAGTGGGGGAGGACAGCTAATGGAGAGAGAAGTAGGAGAAAATGAGAGGGAGGAGAGGAAGGCATGTGCGACCAGGAGGATTGAGCCTGGTTAGGAATGGAAAATAGGAAAGAGAGAGAGAGACAGAGACAGAGAGAGAGAACATAAAAGAGGGAGCCAATATTGGTTTGAAGATAAAGTTGAACACAAAGAAAGGTCAAGGGAACTACAAGACTGCTCCCAACTAACAATCTCAGCTTCCGTGGAAAGGCTATCATAAATGCCCTTCCCGGAGAGTGAGATCAACAACTAACTTCTCCATGGAGTCCTCAACTAATGCCTGTTGAAAACAGGAGCAAACACCCATACATAAACACTGAGTCAAACTAGAACCCAGAAGCAGATGGAGAGGACAAGACCATGCGGTAGAAGTACATAGAGACAGCTTACCTGAACAAGGAGGAGCTAAGGGCCACTAGACTGATAGCTGGGAAGCCAACAGGGGTCTGACTCGGGCCCCCCTGAATATGGGTCTCAGCCAGAAGGTCTGAGCAGTCTAAGAGACCTCAGACAGTGGAGCCAGGATGTATCCCTGGTGCACAAAAGGACTTTGCAAACATATCCCCCATGGAGGGATAACTGCCTTATTCTAGAGATAGGAGAGAAGCCCTAGTCCCTACTTCACAGGACCTGTCAGATCTACATGACCCCAACTGGATGGCATTCCCCTACATATTGTATTGTGGTTGGGGGTTGGGAGGGGAGGGTGTTTAGAGTGCATGGGAGAGGGTAGAGAGGGCAAAAGGGAGGGAAGGAGGGAGGGAGGGCTTGGGGGGAGGGAGGGAGGGAGGGAGAGGGAACTGGGATTGACATGTAAAATAAAAAAAAAAAAAAAAAATGCTTTGACTCCAAAATTTAAGTTGAAGAACAAGTTACTGGGGAAAAGTATTTCTATTTTTGTTTCCACAGAAAATGAAAAGATGTGGATTCCTTCCAGACTAATGTGGTTTGATCACACCAGACCGTCTGAAACAGAGTACAAGCTGATCCTACATTCCAAACAGCTGGACAAAACAGCCCTACGACTACAGCTAGGATATCTGAATCTTCTTCGAATCCCCCAAGACAGCGCCCCTTACCAGCAGGAAGTAGTTTGGAAAGAACGACGCCCAAATTCCCAAATATTGTGTATAAATGTTTGTTTTCATTTAATTGGACTTTGTTATATAAAATTAAATAAAAAATACTCTATATGCATAAAAAAAAAAGACCTGTATATTTCTGGCAGGCATGGAGATCAGTGGGAGCCTCTTGCTTTCAAGGGGGCCAGAGCCAAGAGTCTGCTCTTTTCTTTCCATCAGACTATC